GTATAAATAGAATATAAAAATAAAGTGTTACACAATTCAGTCCATACAAGTCCCATAATTTAGTGAACAGTGACATGCAAATTTGGGTTCTTAGGTTTTAGCTCAAACACTTCTAATCCTCCATTTCAAGCATGATTCTAGTATCCTAGGTGTAAAACCACAACAATAAAAGCAAGATAACACCATTCTCATTCCTATCCAAGTTCATCCAAGTAAGAAGAGAAAAATTAAATAAGCACCATTTTGAAAAATAAAACCATACAAGTGTAGAGGAGAATCAGGGTAACTGACAACCACGTCGTAATAGTTTCAAACAAAACTAGATTCCTCAAACAAGCATGCAATATAAGGAGCAAACCTAGGTCATCTCACAAGGACACAAATTCATTCTATTTCTAATTTTGAACATGCAACGGTGATTAATTTAGAGGTTTGTGATTTAACGATGAATTAAAAACAAAAGTAATTCAAATGAAAGCGGATCAAGACAATGAAAACAAATCTAAAAATAAATTTGAAAAATGAATTTGAATTTAAAATTTGGAAAGAAATCTAAAATGAATAATTGAGAACAAAAATTGAAAAACAAAAATTGAAAATGAAAATTGAAACAAGAACAATTAGAACTAACACGAATTAAACTCACGAACCACAGACGCAAACTAAGATTACTATACTGAATTTATCCAAAACTCAAATGCAATAGAAAACAATCTATCGATATTACATTCAAGAACAAAAACCAAATTCAATCAAATTATGCATGCACAAATCTTAATCAAGAATTGCGGAAGGTAAAAAGACAAACTCAGAGCGCTCAATCGATATAGCAATCCACGCTTGAGACGAAATGATTTGCGATACCAAATAATTAAGAACACAGCAGGATCCGAAGAGCGCAAGCGAATGGAATAAAACAAATTTACTCTAAAAAATGAAAAATTGTCTTTACAGAAAAACAAAATTATTAAAAGGATACAAAGAAGGGTCCAAAATAAACCTTTTGACCCCTATATATACTGATCTTAAATGAAAACAAAATTAAATGAGCCAAGGCCTCTGCGAAAAAAAAAAAAGCCCTTAGTAGAAACCCTAAATATAAAAGGTAAATTTTAAGTCTGAACTTCAAAAATTAATAGAAAATAGCTCTGAACTATAAACAGCATGATCCATATGTCCAAATTGAAGTCCAAAAAGTCAGGAATCTATTGCAAAAAGAATCATCCAAAAATAAGGTCTGTAGAAAAAGTTATGACCAAAATAGTGGACAAAGGTCATAATAGAAAAAAATACGAAATATAAAGTAAAGATGACAAGTATTCATAAAAACTCTAATTTAATGCAAGAAATGCAAAAACATGCTAAATGCAATAATTAAAGAGAGAAAATGTATTTTAGAAGATGTCATAAGGCTATAAATGTGAGTATAAAATACGAATCATCAATAACAAATTTACCTCTTGAAGCTTCTCAAGAAAATCAAAGTTTGACCCTTAAAATCAAGCTTGAAAGTGAGCGTATTTGAGAGAAAAATAGAGGAAAGAACTTGCGGGAAGCTTGTTGGAGAAGAAGATTATTTTCCATGCATCTTCTCTCTCTTAATCACTTTATAAAGTCAAAATTTAATTACTTTATCAAATTTTTTAACTTAAAAATTACACTTTCGTAAATGTAAATTTTTTTTTCAGTTTAATAGGTAGGGAAAATTTTTAAAATAAGGTAGTAGAATATTTACAATAATACTAGGATGGTCACTAAAATTTTAAGTCACTCAAATTGCTCTCGGATCGGTTCGTTTCTTGTCTGCTAATTAGACATGCTGCAAAATAGAATTTTGAAATTTATCAAATTTCATTGTAAAAATTTACTTTCCAAGATCTTTTTAAGATTATTAGGCTCTTGTAAAATTTTCAAAATTTTACGGCTTTGTTTGTTATATAATCAGATTCAATTTGAAATTTATTTATTTTTTTCGCTATGATGCCCGCAAAATAGGCCAATTTTGAGTATTTCCTAAAAAATTCCTGAAAAATTCCTGAAAATCACAAATTATCTAATGAATATAAAACTCTAAAGTCACTTTAACTAATTCCTAATAATTTATTTTTAAAAAAAATTTTGACAAAAGTTTTGTCAAAATTCAGCAGATCAGGGGTACTGAGAATTAGGATATTACAACTCTCCCCCCTCAAATAAATTTCGTCCTAAAAATTTACATATTTGATGTAAACAACTGAGGATGATATTCCTTCATCTTTTTCTCTAATTCCCAAGTAGTATTCCCATCTCCCACTCCATTCCAAATAACCTTAACCAAAGCAATTTCTTTTCCACAGAGTTGTTTAATTCTTCGATCAGAGATTTGGATAGGCTGTGCTTCATAAGTAAGATTGTCTCTAATTTGTACAATGTCTGGCTCAAGTATATGAGAAGGGTCTGAAATGTATTTTCATAATTGTGACACATCGAAGACATTGTGGATGTTGGAAAGAAAAGGGGGTAGAGCCACTTAGTAGGCTATTGGACCAATCCTCTTCAATATTTGTTAGGGGCCAACGAACTTGGACGTGAGTTTTTTTAACTTCATTTCCCGTCCAACTCCAGTTGTAGGTGTGACTCACAAAAACACGTGATCTCCTTCTTAGAACTCCATAGGCTTTCTCCTTTTGTCATAGTAGCTTTTCTGTCGACTTTGAGTTGATCTCAGTTTCTCTTGAACTAATTTAATCTTCTTCGTGGTCTGTTGTACCAATTATGGACCTAGGAGTAAGTTTTCACCTGTCTCAAACCAACACAATGGTGTCTGACATTTCCTCCCATAAAGAGCTTCAAATAGGGCCATCCCAATGCTAGCATGAAAACTATTGTTATATGTAAATTCAATTAGTGGCAAGAACTTATCCCAGCTTCCTTTGTGATCCAACACACAAGCCCGCAATAAGTCCTCCAAAGACTGGATGATTTGTTTTGATTGTCCATTAGTCTGAGTATGATAAGCAGAGCTTAGCCGAAGCTTTGTTCCAAGGGGTTGATGTAAACTTATCTAGAACCTTAAGGTAAAACGAGGGTCTCTATCTGATACAATACTAGCAGGTATGCCATGCAATCTTACCACTTCCTTAATGTACAACTGAGTTAGCTTCTCCAAGGAATAATGAACGTTGATGGTAATAAATGAGCACATTTTGTCAATCTGTCAATTATTACCCACACAGAATCATGACCAGTTGGTGTTCGAGGAAATGAAGTTACAAAGTCCATAGCTATGCTATCTCATTTCCATTATGGCACATCTAATGATTGTAACATCCCTAAAGGTCTTTGATGTTCTACTTTCGCTTTTTGACACACCAAGCAGGCTGCAACATACTTTGCCACTTCCTTTTTCATTTCAGGCTACCAGAATAGTTTCTTCAAATCTTGATACATTTTTGTTGCTCCGGGATGAATGCTCATGTTACTCTTATGTGCTTCCTCCAAAATGGTCTTTCGTAATTCCTTACGAGAAGGAATACAAAATCTTCTTTTAAAACTCAAAATTTCATCTATTCCTTCCACAAATTCTATTTCCTTCTCTTGTTTAGTTAATTCTTTCTTCTCACAGAGAAAAATGTCCTCAGATTGAGCTTCTTGTACTTGTCGTAGAAAATCATTAGTGATAGTGAGAGTACCACACACAACACTTTTGGGACAGAACTTCATTGCTAAATTTAGACTTTGGAATTCTTCTATCAATTTCATTTATCCTATCATCATAAATGCTGCATGTAAAGATTTCCGACTAAGTACATTCGTAATTCAAACTCAGTCCTTCAAGAATTCCATTCACCGTCTTTGACGCATATTCCATTCCTTTTGATCAAAGAGATATTTCAAGCTCTTGTGGTCACTATACATTATGAATCGTGCTCTATACAAATAGTGTCTCCAAATCTTCAGAGCAAACACTACTGCGGCTAATTCTAAATCATAGGTGAGATAATTTATCTCATGTAGTCGTAGTTGTCGAGAGGCATACGCAACTACTTTTCTATCTTGCATCAGTACGCAACCCAATCGTAATTTAGATGCATCACAATACACTTCAACGTTCTTGTTAGGTTCTGGCAAAATTAACACTGGTGAGGAAGTAAGACGACTCTTCAATTCTTGAAAGCTAGACTCACATTGTGGGGTCCCTTTCGTGTTAACTTGGTAAACGGGTAGGCCAATCAAGAAAAACCTTCAATAAACCTTGAATAATATCCTGCTAATCTCAGAAAAATCCTTATTTCAGTGACTGTCTTTGGTTGTTCCTACTTCAAAACTGCCTCAACCTTAGCTGGATCAACAGTTATTCCTCCTTCATTAATGCCATGTCTAAGAAAATTCACTTTATTTAGCCAAAACTCATACTTGGACAATTTTACGTACAATTGCTTTTCCTTCAAGATTTGTAGCACAATTCTTAAGTGCTCAACATGCTCCTCTGTGCTCTTGGAGTATATAAGGATTTCATCAATGAATACAACCACAAACTTATCCAGAAAAGGATGAAAATTCTGATTCATATAATCCATAAACACAACTAGGGCATTGGTCACTCCAAAAGGCATAACCAAATACTCGTAGTGTCTGTAGCGTGTTCTAAAAGCAGTCTTTGGTATATCCTCATATCGTACTCTAATCTGATGATACCCTGATCTTAAATCGATCTTTGAAAATATTGTTGCCTCGCGTACTTGATCCATCAAATCGTCTATTCTTAGCAATGGATATTTATTCTTAATCATCACTTTATTTAGTTGTCTGTAGTCAACACATAGTTGCATGCTCTCATCCTTCTTTTTCACCAACAGTACTGCTGCTCCCCATGGTGACACACTCGGCCTAACAAATTGCTTCTCCAAGAGTTCTTTTAGTTGCTTTTTAAGTTCTGATAGTTCCAACGGGGATATTCTATATGGGGCTATAGAAATAGGTCTCACTCCTGGTACCAAATCAATGCTGAATTCTAATTCTCATTCTGGAGGTAATCCTGGAATATCATCAGGAAAAACATCAGGAAATTCTCTCAATACTGGCAAATCATCTAACTTTTCTCTCTTTCCTTCTATCAGTAAGGACATTACAAATCCCCGAACTTCTTCCTTTAAGGAAAAATCTTTGTAGTTGGCACTTTGAATCCTTAACTGCTCAGAATTGTCGTGTTCAAAATCTCTAAACACAACAGTCTACCTATAACAATCTATGATGACATGGTTGTCAAATAACCAGTCCAATCCCAAAATAACCTTCAATCCTTTTAAAGGAAGACAGAAGAGATTCACTACAAAGTTTCTACCATCTATACTAATAGGACACTCCCAGCATGCTTTGGCAGTCATAACAGGGTCATTACTCAGGGTATGAACAGACAAATCAAATGGCAATGCTATGGTAGACAATCTCAAACGTTCCACACAACTACTAGAAATAAATAAATGTGATGTGCCTGAATCAAACACCACAAATAAAGGGGTGTCTCAGATGATACATGTACCTCCAATCATCGTGTCAGAGTAAGATACTTCTTTTCCGCTCATTGCGAAAACGTTACCATGAGCCTTTGGCCTGCTAGCTACCCGTCCACTAGGATTTCGATTGTGATAGTTTCGATTGCCTCCATCCCCTTCCTTCTTCACCATTGGGTGGTCACGAGACATATGCCCAGGCTTGTTACAACTAAAAGCATATTAACAGTTTTACTGGGCAATCTTTCCTGTAGTGTTCTTGTTTGGAGGGCAAGTGTACCCATCGAGAAGTAATAAAGGGTTCTTAAACTAAGTTCCGAAAATATCGTCCCACAAGGATTATTTTTCAATTACTAAGAATTTCCTAATTCAATTGTTTAAGCTTCAAAGATATGATATTAATTAAAACAAGAATTTATAAAATTAATTATAAACTAAGAGTAAGGAATACAATGCACGTCTTGGTTAAACTTATCGGAGAGAACCTAGAGCATATGAATTTTCTCATTTAATCCTTTATGTTATTCTTCTATTTAACTCTAAATTTGATTTCCTTGTGATTACCAATCATTCATATGAATACTATGAATATCCAATGGTCATGCAATATTAATATTCTTTTCTCTAAATTAACATCTCCAATGGTCATGCAAGACATCAATTTAAGAAAACTTAAGGAACCTATGAACTTGTTAATTTAATAACGATTAGAAGAGAAATATTGGTTTGGTCCACCTAATCCTTTGTCTCGTTTTACCCTATAAATCTATTAATTTACCAAGGTACGATCGCCTAACGATATAATCAATTAGGATTAAGAAAGGAGCGCAATAGGATAAAATCTAATCACAAAACGGAAATCAAATTTAGATTTAAACATCAAAATTTCATAAATTCATGAACAATAGTTCCCATAGCCTTAGCTATGAACTCAGTTACTCATGCTAAGAAAAGAACTAAAACAATCATAAACAAAGTCATAATCAAAAGAAATAGCAAACTAGAGTGTGAGATGTGTTCCCGGTCTTCAAGTACGATCGCTTGAAGCTCCAAGTGTCGCCAAGCATGTGCCAAGGATCCCGTGCAAGAGAGACGAGATCAAATGTATTCTAGAGCCAAAGCGAAGATGTAAAAACGGTTCCCTTTTACGATGCTTGAGATCTCCTTTCAATAGAGTTTGAAAACCCTAAAGACTCTTAATAATAGGGTTTCTCGCAGATGAGCACAGCCTTGAGCACGACCGTGCATGGACTCGAAGCACCCCGTGCTTGTTGGAAGGGTCTAGGCGTGCTGGTTGCTGTGAAACTCTAATCTTTTATTAATTTGGGCCCAAAATCCACTTGCGGCCTCTTTATACCAAACTACACAATTAATAAATTAGTGTAAAACTCAAATAAAATAAAGGTCAAATATGACTATATGGGCTGTAAAAGAGGGCCTAATTACAAACTTATCAACTCCCTACACTTATCTATTTGTTTGTCCTCAAGCAAAGTGCTGGTTAAGCGAATAACATAATAACTTTAAACATAATACCACACATGGAACCCGAAACAACGAAGATAGAGAGAGCAACAAGAGTAATATCAATGAGGCTAAGCAATAAAAGGATTCCCAATTAGAATCTTACAATTCTATACTTTTCACTCAAACGTCAAACTAAGGTACTCTAATTCTGTCTCTCACTAAGGGACAAAATGAGATATCACTCAGTTCTCCTAAAGAAAGTGTACTACCATAGGCTTGACTATAAACCAACTTTCTACTAAATAAATTAAATGCAACTTAAAATCATGAGGTCTTTTTTAGGTTATAATGTGGTCAAGGAGTTATAATAATTGAGGTGAGATAAATGAAAGGAAGGGGATATACAAAGGGGTAATAAATTATAAAAATTATAAACATCCCCTAAGTTTACAAATAAAGCTCTTGGAGTAATTTTTATATTTTTGTATATAAACAATATCTTTACTCCTCTCTCCTTTCAATCATATATAACCCTTTTTCTTTTCTTTTCTTTTTTTCTATTTTTCATTTTCTTTTTCATACTTTCTTTCTTTCATTTTGCACATGAGAGATATAGAGGAGAATTAATCAAACAATTTAATAACTCAATTGCTCCATTCATAAACTCAAGGTCATCAAAATATTTTATAAATTTAATGCAAGGGACCAAGAAAATCAATAAAGCTCAAAGTGGACAACTAGTTGTATCTCAAACATGCTGAAGGCCAAGAATAAAAATCCTATTATGCCTCAATCATATTAAAAACTGTTGTTAGCAATCTACACTAGCAAATGCACTAGGATTGCAGCAAGTGATGAGTAAATTTAAGATCCAAATATCGTCTCCACAGGGAATTTAGATTCAAGTATCACTTCATAGAATTATAACCATTTAAGCTTTTTCGAAATTGTAAAGAGAGTGGTAACATCTAATAACAGCAAACTGGAACAATTAAAAGTAAAATGAACTTGCAGAAAACAAAACAATGAACACACAGTTATGTGATAACAGAGGGAGAAACCATAGCTAGGGAATTGCTTCACCAAAACTCCAATGTTTAATCAATAAAGTTCTGAATTAACAAGCAATTGGAAAGAATGACAATCAGTTTCACATTATAATATTCAGAGGTTAATTCCTTAGCTCAATGAACCTAACATTCAATTAAACCATTCTAATTCCTTAGATCTAATTCAATTCAATGTTGCTTTAAGTGTAAGAAACCAAAAGATTGCAAGATCAAAGTTCCTTATCCCTAAGAAAACTAAAATCTCGGTGATTGGTTTAGATCTGAAGAACAAATTCAATTTCCATTGACAAAGGTTCCTCTGAATTTAGTTAATCAAATTTCCATTCAATTCACACGTGAAGTTCAGAATCAATCACTCAATCTATTCCAAAGCTTGAAATCCAGATCCAAATCAATTCAACATGTTCATTTCAGATCTACAATCCCTAACTATGAATGAATTACACAACCATGGCAGCAGAAGAAGAAAAAGAAAGAGAAGAAGAGAAGAAGAAACTCAGAAACGCCATGGAAGCTTGCTCCACTCCAATTCCTCTTCGTGAAGCTCCAAGATCTGAATCCCCACTCCTCTCTCTCACTTCCTCTAACCAGAAACTAACTAAAAAAATTGAAAATGAACAGAATCCCCTTTTTCCGGATCGCTTCTGGTATTTATAAAATTTCCCAAATCTTCACGTCATCACTTTTATGAGAAATAGTAGTTACGCAGAGAGTTTTTGGTTGCGCGTTAACACTTTTCCCAGAAATAGTGGCCACGCGCATTTTCCTGATATTGAGAGCTCTCTGGAACTATCACTCTTGATGATAAAAGTGACAACGCAGAGCCAAGGTAGTTGCGCGTTATCACTTTTTCTGATAAAAGTGACTACGCGCAGCTCGCCAAGTTGAAGACTCTCTGGAACGATCACTTTTGATGACAATAGTGGTTACGCAGAGCTTTCTTGATATTTTGCCTCTATGGAACTATCACTTTTAATGATAAAAGTGGTAATGCCCAGGCTTCACTTCTTCTTTGAGCTCTGAAGTGATCACTTTCACTGACAATAGTGATCACTTCCAGTCTGCAATTTCTTATTCTTGAGTTTTTGGAGTCCAGACTTGCTTCTTTCCTCTTCCTTGTCATCAAACCTCCATGAATATGATCCTTGCTCAATTTATTCCTACAAAAACAAGATTAAAAACTTAATTCCTAAGCAAAAATTTTACAATTGCTAAAATAACTACATATGTAAACAAAATTCAATTCCTTCTCTTTTTCTCAGTTTTTCTGCTTCCTTTATACATTTTTCTTATCATTTGTGTTAGAATTATGCTAAAATATCAGTCAAAATATGGATTCATCACTACCCCAAACTTGAATTTTTGCTTGTCCTCAAGCAAATCAAATTAAACCAAGGGTAATTCTTCCACTTTCAGAAACCATTTCATAACTGCTATATCAGAATTTTTCAATTTGTAATTCTGTGTTTTCTGCAAAATTTTCAATCAAGATATTCATCCAATTACTCATCATTGCAACCACAATGCATTCATCAAATTTTAAGCAAGAATTGCTATCTAAGTGAATATATCAGCCAAGTTCATGTGAGAAACATTAAAATCATGATCACTTCTCACTGGACAGTGTTTCCCTCAATTCTCATCAGTGTTTAAGTACTGTTTTCTCTCTTTAATCATCAATTCAGCTACACTCTACCATATGCTTGCCCAATTTCTCTATCTCCTCTGCTTAGTACAGTCAATCACACATCAAGAGGACTTTTTACAGTTTATAACAGGGCTTAGGTTAAGGTAGATACTGAACAAAATAAGAAACAAGTTGCAATTTTAAAAGATCAGAAGCATTTTGAGTGAATGACTTTAAAACTAGTCTGGTTTAGCATCAATTCACATTAAATTCCTCAGTTATGTAGCAGACTAATCGTTTTTGTGCAGCAGAATTTTTATTTTCCTTTTTCTTCTTCTCTGCAACAGTTTACTGCTAATTTCTTCTGTTTGATCTCCATTTTGCTCTTTTCAACTCAGATTCTATTTTTGGACTCATGTTTAACTCTTCCATAGTTTTGCTGCATAATTTTTAATGTTTCTGCAGCACTTTTGTTCTTTTGTTCTGACTTTTTGAACTCAACTTAGATAGCTTGCTACTCCCTTACCCCAAACTTAAAATTTTGCTTGTCCTCAAGCAACTTAATTTGATGCTACCCCAAACTTAGTTTTAAAACTCATTCTTGATTAAACTCACAATGCCTTTGATCAATTTGAATGGTAAAATTGGTTTTTCAGCAAGGCGTGTAAGGAAGTTAACTCAAGAAAAGGGAATATTAAGCTCAAAAGGGGTAAACTAGGGCAATTAATCATAAGGGAAGGCATTTTAGGCTAACTAAGTATATCAAACATGGCCTCTATCATGTGTGTGAGAACTATAACATGCATATTCAATTAAGAACAAGGGCAAGTTCTAGAGAATGCAGTAAAATCTGATTAATCACACAAGGAAAGAAGTAGGTAGCTCAAGTCTCACTAGGCCTTTATAAGTGATCATGTGAATTAATGAAAACACAATGCACTTTTCAGAAATATATGCACCTAGTGGCAACTGCCTCATTTTTGAAAATACAAGTGTGATCTCATTTTGAGAATGGGAAAAACAACTTA